AGTGGGGAAGAACAGACTCAAACTTTCGAAACCTCCCAATGGGAACGAGAAAAGTTAGATGCTCGATGAACATATAAAGGAGGCAGCTGGAGAGAAGTCAAGAGCGAGTGAAGACGAAAAGGGACGGAGTAAACCGTGAACAAATAATGGACTTCTGTTAATGTCCCTTATGTATGTAGAAGGATCCTGAGGGTCATGAGAGCGGACAGAATAACGGTGGCATTGGGCATCACTTCAATCATTCAAGGATGCAACATTCGCCTCTGCATATAGGCTTTCGACAGGAGAGGAGCAAAAAGAACCTCGACGTAATCCCTGATGGATGGAATCAAGTTTAGAAAGAGTTGAGGAAGAGGCTGCAGAATATATCTGGTTCCCGTAGTGTAGTTTCGATAAAATTAGGGCTGAGTGCAGTCGAAGAAGAGTTCGACGACCTCTCCCCCCCCCGTCCCCCACGAGAGATGAGCAAAGGTATCAGAGACAACAGAACGTCTGGTGAAAGTAATTTAGTGCGGTTTAGCACCAGAAAATTTAAACCCATGCGTAGTGGCCCAATGTGGAACACGGTTGATAACATTCTGGAGTGAGGCTGCTACTAGGCAACAGTCACCGCCTGCACAAGCTATAGCAAAGTCATCGACATAAAGTGATGACCGAACAACAGATGGGAGAACAGAGACCAGATCATTTATAGTTAGTAGAAAAAGAGTGGTGCTAAGGACGTATTACTGAGGGACACCTTCAGCTTGGATAAAGTTCGGGGAAAGATAATTATTAACCCGGATATGGGAATGTCGCTCAGATAAGTTTTTAAGGAAAAGTCGCAGATGAAGAACAAGGGGCTAGTAACCCCTTCTGTACAAATTACTAAATGTAAAAAGAAAGCATTTCGTTTTTCGTTTTATGTCACCCTGCCTCGGTGGAATACGGCCGGTACGCCTTTAAATGAGTTCTTGCTAATTGACCAGTTTTACCTATTCGGCACGACATACATACATATATATATATATATATATATATATATATATATATATATATATATATATATATATATATATAAACTTAGACATTTATAGACATTTGTTAATGACTGATATCCTCTGTGCTTATTCATCAGTTTGAAGCAGCATTGTACGAGGGCCGGTATACATGGGTGATCGTGAGAGTAGGCCAAGGGCATTGTCTCCCAGATAAGGGGTGCCAACTTCATGCGAGTGTGGTAAATGCGCGAGTGAAGGCATGCAGCGCCAAGGTGCCAAGGTAGAGTGCCAACACTGCCTAAGAGAGCTCGTGATAACAGCTTGGTGGGGGCTCCCACGTTATAAGATGGCCGCCCCTCAAGGGGGGCTCCTTAACGCCGTTGAGCTCATGATTCAAGGACCTTGATCTCCTCTTCCCTTCCTTGGCTCAGACTTGAATATGTCCCATTCCCGAGGCAATATATGATCCTACGGGTTCAGCGTTCTCCACTAATGTAATACAAGGTGATCGTGAGGGTCCTGTGACGTGATGTAGGGGGGGAGGAGGTTCTGAGGGGATGAGGTGCTCGTGAGGGTTCTGTGACGTGATGTAGGGGGAGGAGGTTCTGAGGGGATGAGGTGCTCGTGAGGGTTCTGTGACGTGATGTGGGGTGAGGCGGTTCTGACAGGATGAGGTGCTCGTGAGGGTCCTGTGACGTGATGTAGGGGGGAGGAGGTTCTGAGGGGATGAGGTGGTCGTGGGGGTCCTGTGACGTGATGTGGGGGAGGGGGTTCTGACGGGATGAGGTGGTCGTGGGGGTCCTGTGACATGATGCAGGGGGAGAGGAGGTTCTGAGGGGATGAGGTGCTCGTGACGGTCCTGTGACATGGTGTGGGGGGAGGGGGTTCTGACCAGATGAGGTGGTCGTGAGGGTCCTGTGACATGATGTAGGGGGAGAGGAGGTTCTGAGGGGATGAGGTGCTCATGAGGGTCCTGTGATGTGGGAGGAGGGGGTTCTGAAGGGATGAGGTGGTCGTGAGGGTCCTGTGACATGATGTAGGGGAGAGGAGGTTCTGAGGGGATGAGGTGGTCGTGAGGGTCCTGTGACATGATGTAGTGGGGGAGGGGGTTCTGAGGGGATGAGGTGGTCGTGAGGGTCCTGTGACGTGATGTAGTGGGGGAGGGGGTTCTGAGGGGATGAGGTGGTCGTGAGGGTCCTGTGACGTGATGTAGTGGGGGAGGGGGGTTCTGAGGGGATGAGGTGGTCGTGAGGGTCCTGTGACGTGATGTAGTGGGGGAGGGGGTTCTGAGGGGATGAGGTGGTCGTGAGGGTCCTGTGACGTGATGTAGTGGGGGAGGGGGTTCTGAGGGGATGAGGTGGTCGTGGGGGTCCTGTGACGTGATGTAGTGGGGGAGGGGGTTCTGAGGGGATGAGGTGGTCGTGGGGGTCCTGTGACGTGATGTAGTGGGGGAGGGGGTTCTGAGGGGATGAGGTGGTCGTGGGGGTCCTGTGACGTGATGTAGTGGGGGAGGGGGTTCTGAGGGGATGAGGTGGTCGTGAGAATAAATTACAGTTAAGAGAGCGCTGTGAGCCACATATACCACACAACAAAACTAAAAAATCATCTACATGAACATACTAAAAATAATTATAATTGTACATAAGGTCAAAATGGCCAACATTTAAAAAACTAAGATTGATATTAAATATATTTTAATTTTCTTGAAGTTATTACAGGCAGACTGCAAGTACACAAATTTTGTCAAAAGTTAAAAGGCCTAGTTACAAACAAACAACTGAAATGTGTAATACAGTCAGCGCTGCACCAAAAGTAGCTGAATGAATGAAAGAATTGTTAACCAATACCCGTAAGTGGGGATGGGTTCCTGGCCTTAGTCTAGACAAAAACAAGGTCATCATTGAGTATGTAAAAGGGCTAAGGTCAACGTGAACATCGCAGAATGGGGTAAAGATTATCGTTATAGACTACCCGGCGCACCTTGTGATGGTGGACTGCAGTCTTAGTGTAGTAACACAGCAATACAAATCGGGCCTCGCTACAAGACAAGTCTGGTGGCCGCCTTATAAATAATTTGAGTATTTAATATTACTACGCAGGGTAACCCCTGGCGACCGCTTCGGAAACTAGATGCTGACAAGACTTGCAAGTAGCTCCTCTCGGAAATTGCGTTTCCATAAATTATAATGGACAGTAGAATAATTTTCTAACTGCTTACAGCATCTACGTTCATACAGTAGAGCTGATCAATATGCAGTGTAACTCGTGGATTCGTCTAACACTTTTAAATAATCTAGGTGTAAATTTTGTTCGTAAATATTTACCAATTTCCATATAAAATCGTTAAGACTTCCTCAGCTGTTATGGAAGGTGTTGTAAAAATGTTATGGTTATGGTGGTCAATAGTTACTACTGAATGCCTATCGTTTGAGAATTCACTTCCGGGTGAGATTTGGTTCTGAACATTTTTCAAGGACAAACAGTGCAGCGTAAGGTCATCGAACCTTTGGCCTCACGCACACTGACTCACGATCGACACACACATCAGCCACAACACAAGAAGCTATCTTACTTGAGCTCAGCTGTGGTTGATATTACCACATATACCTCTACCCTTAGCTGCCACATATACCTCTGCTCTTAACTGCCACATACAAAGCTCTCCACGTTCACCTGCATTACCTGCAGATTGTTCAAGGGATCTGACCTCCACGCTTTCAGAGCAGATCTTTATTGTATTTATTACATTCACGGGGGAGCACTAAATCCGTCCGGGTCATACAACGCTAAGGGGAATTGGAGGGATTCAAGTTCGATCCAAAGAAGGGGAGGGCCGCCCAAACACAGTGGGTACAAAAGCTCTTTCCCCTGTCAGATTCCACCACGCAGGATGGGGATCATACAAAATGATGAAATGTGCCAGCTTGATCTGGGGGACTTCAGTAGATCAATAAGAATATTGTCAAGTATTCCTTTAAAGGTTCATCAGCTATGGAAGCTTGAAGGATTTAGTTCCAGCATAGCTGGAGTTAGTAACACCTGGGAATTGTCATCTCTTAAGGATACCTTATCTCATACACAGGAGATAAAGAATTTTCATGAAGATATCTCATTCCAAAGTAGGGACGAGGAAAATGATACAGAGGGGGCGGAGGATAAAGAGAGGCAGTGAAACTAGTATATACACATTAGGTAAACTCTACGTCTCTTTGTACCCTTATTTTATTTTCTGCATCTGGAGGCTACTGAGGTGAGGTGATTTTGTAATGTTCGCAACTCGAGTAAGATTATTTACACCACACGCATATATAATATATATATATATATATATATATATATATATATATATATATATATATATATATATATATATATATATATATATATATATATATATATATGTATGTATATAATGCTTTTGGGTTATAAAAATTGGATTCATTAATAAGTAATAAAATTTGGGAAGAATTTAAGATACATTACACAAGTTAAATTCTTAATGCTTGGATAGAATATAAGTTGTTTCACTTACATCATCATAAAAGGTCAGGTGTTGTAAGGTAACTGAGATAGTCTCGTTCATTATGTCGTCTTCTTGATTTATTTTTACAGTTCCTTGATAATGTGAGAAATCACGAAAACGCTTGGAATGCTACTATTTTTTCACAACGGTTGTTCTGTATGTATATATATATATATATATATATATATATATATATATATATATATATATATATATATATATATATTATATATATATATATATATGATTGTGTGTATGCGTATTTACGGGGCTTGATTAGTGCGCGTAATACTCTGTGAATTTGGAGGTACTATGTATTTATAATCTAATGGAAACAGTTTAAGTAGTTTGCATGTACTTTCTAAAAGATTTTCTGTGTCTGTTGATATTTTAAGTAATAAGAGTATATTGTAGATATAATATAAATATATGCATGTTTACATTTCGGTTAAATTACTTTGAAGTTATATTCTAATAACAATATTTCTTATTTTCAGTTTGAGAGGCGTAGTGTGGGGCGAGTAAGGCAGGTGGCCAGGGGACGAGTGAAGGAAGGTACTCCTGCGAGTGACCTGCCTGCTTGCAAGTGACTAGCCGCCGTACAAGAGTGCTTCTCACACTCTCACACACAGACATACACACAGACACACAGACACGCACACAAGCACGCACGCACGTCTTGCTCACCACAACACCATCACGCCTTCACCACCTACTGTGATAACGCCGTGTCCTTTGGAATTTTGTGATTGCCCGTACCTCTACTTCTCTGATATTGTATAGTGTGGTGTTGCGGAGTCTTCCCTCCTTCGTTACACACCGCCGCTGCCTTATACAAGTGACGTGGTTGAGAGCCACGTAGCATTGAGTAGCGTCACTCCAGCACTCTCACAGTCAACATGGGCCGCAAGAAAATTCAGATCTCGCGCATCACTGATGAGAGAAACAGACAAGTAAGTACAAACGCTGCCTTCATTTATGTCACATTTATTATTACAGTCATAAGTAAGCGATAAACTCGTATGGGTAATACAAACTCTGAAAATAGGCAATCAGGTTTGATCCATAGATAGGGATAGTCTTCCACGGCGTCAAGATACAGTAGAGCACATTGTCACTTCTAAATTCAAATTTTGTAATATTACGTCAGATTAGCCTACTTATAATTGGAATTTTGTTCATTGACATAAGAACAATTATGTTCACTAGGACTTTTTTTTGCTGGTGTAAATATTTGTGCTTTTGACTTGATAACCGCTGACTTTGTGGTCTGTCCACTACATGGTTCATTCCTGGAGTGGTGGTGGGTCAGGTGGTGTATCAAGGGTGGTGGGGTGGGGTCAGGTGGTGTATCAAGGGTGGTGTGGTGGGGTGGGGTCAGGTGGTGTATCAAGGGTGGTGGGGTGGGGTCAAGTGGTGTGTATCAAGGGTGGTGGGGTGGGGTCAAGTAGTGTATCAGGGGTGGTGGGGTGGGGTTAAGTGGTGTATCAAGGGTGGGATCAGGTAGTGTATCAAGGGTATATCAGGTGATATGTAAATTGTAGTGGGGGGGGCATACGTCAGGTGATGTGTTAGCATGAGGGTCTGCTGGACGGTAGACCCCCACCCCCACCCCACATCCCCCGCCAAGCAACATGCCTTCCCCTCACCCCCAAAATAGCAGTATTGATTCTATATTTGGCAACTTCCTTTATTATTTATAACTCACATTTCCAACCAAAACAACACATTGGTGGTCTCGTGACGGAATTAGCACGGGTACTATTTTGGTTGATGTCTGGAATGTTAATGGGGGAAGAGGCTAGTGTGCCATGACTTGGTACTCTTAAACTCGGTACAATCAATGGTGGCAGCAGTCTCAGGGTTCCGCTGCCTTGACCTTGTAGTATACAGAAATAATAGGACCATCGGTAGACTGGCTTGCAGTTGGCCTTGGTCTCACCTTGGTGTCGGATAGGAACCAACGACCGTGAGGATCATTTCACTTGTTCTCTCTCTCCAGTCTCCTGTGATAGCATAAAAAACTGATGCACGTTTATATCTCTTCCATTTAAGTTTTATTATTGTACTGTTACTGTGAAGGGTGTGCGAGTAAAAATTGCAGTGCCATTTTCTTGGTACAAAGTTGGATGAAGGATTGTAATATCTAAATTGCTCAATGGATGGCCTTGCCCCAATGCATCTTCTTTAATACCCCTTCCATTGTTTACATTACCAGCTATGAACAAACACCTGGCTATTTTCACATTTACCCGTTACCCTCCCACCAGCACCTCTAGTAGGCAGAGTGAAACCAGAGGCTATCAAAGTGAGAAGTTCTGTTCCCCATGGCACAGTGCTTGCCACTTTTCTCTTCCTCATATTCGACATAGAAGCATGAATCACCGCACCTTATCATCCTTTGCAGCATGATACTAGAATCTGTACAAGAGTATCACCCATTAAGGACACAGCAAACTTCCAGGCTGACATAAACAAAGCCTTCCAGTGGGCCACTGACAACATGATGTTCGGTGACAAGTTTCGGTTACTCCATCATGAAAAGATTGAGGAAATAGACGAACAGAATGCAAAATAAACTAGAATTACTCAGTAGAGAGACTTGAGAGTGATTACGTTAGATCCCACCTTCAAGGATCACAACAGTATCACCATCACAATTGCAAGGAAAATTATAACCTGGAAAATTAGAACCATCAAAACAAGAGATGCTAAGCCAGTGATGATTCTCTTCAAGTTGCTTGTTCTCTCTAGGCTGGGGTGCTGCATTTTTCTAACGGCTTCGTTTAAGTCAGGCAAAATTGCAGACCTAAAGAACGTGAACCTTCATTTTTCGCATAATTTCAATTAAGCATCTAAATTACTGGGAATGTTTGAAGCCCCTCGACCTGTACTCCTTGGAATACAGGCGAGAGGGGTACGTTATAATCTATACCTGGAAAATTGTAGAAGGGTTAGTCCCAAATCTATTCACACAATTATTCCCTATGAAAGTAAGACGCTTGGCAGATAGTGCAAAATACTTCCAATGAAAAGCAGTCGTGCCATACCTGGAGAGTGTTTCGGGGGTCAGTGCCCCCGCGGCTCGGTCTGAAACCAGGCCTCGCGGTGGATCGGGGTCTAATCAACAAGGCTGTTACTGATGAATGGTTCAGAGAACCGACATGTTGATAAATTAGACACATGTGCAACTCTTGGGTATCTTTATTGAGATACCCAAGAGTTGCACATGTGTCTAATTTATCAAGGCTGTTACTGCTGGCCGCACGCAAACTGACGTACGAACCACAACCCATGAGTATACAATAAGTATGAAGGGACCAATACTTTTCAACATCCTCCCTTAATAGATAAATTAAGGGGGATTGCCAGCAGACCCCTGGCTGTCTTCAGTAAGAATGATTTAGACAAGTTTCTTAAGTCAGTACCTGATCAATCTTGCTGTGGTAACTCGTGTTGGACTTCGTGCGGCGAACACAGGAAGGCCTGGTCTTGGACAGGGCCTGGGGGGGGGGGTCTCTGAACACACTCAAGGTAGGTCGTAGATTCTATCTTCCTTTTCCACATACATGGCTCATATCTGCCTTTATATCAACCGTAGTTATTCAGCATACACCTGCCTTTCAACTCACTCTCCTTAGTACTTGCATCCCCACCTACCAAGACAATCAGACTGTTACTGGCAGCAGCCTGCAGGACCCCATAGCAATCACAGCCAGGCTTATGCGGCACTTGTGCCAAACAAGTGCGGTTTTCTCTTTGTAGTTTTTACTTTTGTCCCAGAAAATACTTCTGGTAGCAGGTTGAATATAGTGAAAAGGCGGTTGTCATTTTATTACTATATCTGTAGATAAGTGTTGCCATTCAGCACAGCTGATTGAATAGTTGTGGACCACAGGTGTTGACACAATATTTTTTTCGTTGTGCATATAACAACCCAGCTTTTAACTGGGTTCATTCCACACTTCTTCCATATTCTTCAATCCGGTAAGTTATGGTAATGCACAGAGTAGGTATTTTCCATATGCATGTTATCAGGTTTCTCTTCTCCATTCTAAGCTGTATGACCCTTGTCGATTTAGCGCTTTCTTTGATTATAATAATTCTCCATTCTAACAAGCACATTCCAAGCTTTGAGGTGTTCTCGGTAGTTTAGAGACTTTATTGATTATATGTGGGAAGTGAACGACCTCTTCATTTTCCGGATCTGATATATTTCCTCCCTTGGGGGTTCTGTCACATACATATCATTCACCATCCCACACCAATATTGCAGTTATCGCACCTGCCTTCCAGACAACGTTTATGTGAGCATCTGTCACGTAAACGTCGCGTTTCATCATTAAGTAATGGAAACTAAAAACAAATTATTCACCTCAAAATACTGCAGGCATAGAAATAACGAATAAAATGGGAGAATTTCCTCTTAGAAATAAAACATCAATGTAAAATTTATGGTATCATAGTGCAATGTTTGAGACAAAATTTATTAGAGAACAACTAAAGGCATAAAATGTTAAATATGCAAGCAGAGCTTCCATACACCTGGTGCTGAAATAAGTAATAACACTGGGTTTAGGGATGGAAATTATCACTAAATCAGATAAATAAATTTATACAAACATAATAAATGTATTGATATGTCCTTCCCAAGAATGTAATAAATTTCTCAGAAAACTTTCCAATGTATGTAGTGTGGGGAAAAGACACACAGTATTCTGCATGCTCGCTGGTAAATAGGACAGTCCAATAGAATATGGCAAACTGAAATTGGAACCTGACAATTCTCAGAGTGGAACTGGGCGCCTCTCCATGAGATACCCATGAGCGAGACGGGTCACGGGTATGCCCTTTGCAAAGACGGGAAAGCATAGTCTCCCAACCGTGACATCAGTGATAAGACCGGGATCCTAAACTCAGCTTGATAGAATCTAATTTATGTTATAGCCCAGCTGGCCCAGTGGCTAACGCGTCGGTCTGGAGTTTTACGACTGTCTAACTGCGGGTTCAAGCCCCGTCCTTGGTATGGTTTATGAATGAACTCAGACCAGAGTTGTTACCGACGGTTGCGAAGGTGGCTAGAGATTATCGCAAAATAGTCTGAGAATGGAATACCTCTATATGAAACTGGGAGGTCATGTACCACTGACCGCGCATCGGAGTCCGTCTGCTCGTTCCCCTGAACGTCAACATGATCAGGGACCAGCATTAAACGATTTCGTATTTTTTTCTTTTAGAAATACGGTGCAACCAAATTTGTATACGAAGAACTAGGGGATGAGGCGAGTTTTTTTTTTTTTTTTGATAACTTGCATAGCACTAAAGGAGTCAGAGACTACCACAAATGTTAAGGTAGACCTGGATTAAATATGTATAATTGCTATGAGAACTGCATACAGTTCAGCTGTGAAAATACTGGCCGAGTCAAATAAATGACCTCGCAATACACTGTCCGGGAATACTGCTCTAAACCCGACACCATCAAAGGATTTAGAACCATCAGTGTAAACTGCAACTGCATGAGAATGAGGCCAGAAGTAGTTGAGAAAAATGGAGCGAGAAGCAACGGTAGGTATTTGAGCTTTCGCACACTGCAGTGGGAAAGAACAGACTCAAACTGTCAGAACCTCCCAAGCGGTAAGAGAAAAGTTACATGCTTGATGAGCATATAAAGGGGGCAATTGAAGATATGCCAAGAGCGAGTGGAGACAAAGAGAAAAGGGGCGGCGAACAAATAATGGACCTTTACTAACGTCCCTTACTATCCTGCATAACGCTGAGGTGTGTAGAATGTTAAGTAAGGTGTGAAAAAGTGACGGGGATGGGGGCGGATTGGTGTCCATCATTGGTTTTGTCTCCTCAGTCTATTTGGAGATGGCTTCAAGCGTTTGAGATGGCAAGGACGATGCAGGTAATACGATATCAGAGATAGGAGAAGGAAGGTGAGAAAAGA